GCAAAGCATCTGAAAGTTTGGTATCGTTGAAGATAAGAGGATGATGAGTATTGTAAATGTCAGTACATTCTATATGTTAGCTTTATGGGGCACTGGACAACTGTATTGAAATTGTGTTGATAATGGACTAATAATGACAGAAAAACTGAGGAGAGTTTGCACTTAAAAAAATTATGAGAAATGGACCTCCCCTGGTGGCGCAGGCAGTTGAGTGCAATGCTGTGAAGCTGTCCACAGCCTCTGCAGCACCAGTTCGATCCTGGTCAGCCAGGGAGATTCCCACATGGCATGGCAGACCTCTCTTGTCATGCCCGCTGCTCCGCCCGCTGCTCCCCTCAGCAGTGTATTTGGGTCAATCTGCCTGTTCTGCTCCTCGCTCTATCTCTGGTAAATCCTCTCACCCCCCCGCACATCTGGCCTGTACCCCAGTTCTTGTATGCATGAATAAATAAATCTTTAAAAAAAATTAAGAGAAAATATAGTCACAAGTCTAAAATAAAGCTATGTAAATGAGATATCTAAGACTTTGTAAACAGGACTAAATGGAAGACAAAATGAGTATCATCAGATCAGCCACAGAAGTTAGAAGAAAGCAACTCAAGAATAGAATAGGGTGCCTTTTGGAAAAAAAGAATTCTCCATTAGACTAAGTGGACCTCATTATATGGGTATCACTATTTGGACAGAATGTTAGACACACAAATACATAGGGTGGGCAAATTCTATGATTCTAAACATTCTCTAAGTTATAAAGTTTAATTTTACCAAAGGCAGCACTCTATTCAGACTTGAAGGCAGGAAAAGGGCTGTTTCTGATTATTTGGTAGAAGTCCATAGAAAGAGCAACATGTATTTGATCATCATAGCTGAAAGGTCACTTTTTTAATTCCAACCTGGCTGATGTTGGTGTTGTTGTTCAGCAACACTAACACTACCAAAAAAATGTACAACATCTAAGAGGAGAACCTTTTCACAAAGCCTTAATGTTAATCATTCAATGCAACAATATTTTAAATATTCTATTCTGGGTATGAAAAATCACTATAATCTCCTAACCAAACTGTAGTATATACATTAAATCAGTGGTTCTTAAAATATGGTCTGAACTCTCCAAGATACTTTCAAAAAGTCCATAAGGTCAAAATTATTTTCACAAAAATACTAAAATATTATTTGCCTCTTTCATTCTCATCTTTTGACATGTAAAAAGTGAGAGGCTGAATGATGTGTAGTATCACATGAAATCAGCACATATGAAAATAGAGCTGTCTTCTACTAAATTAGAAATTGAAATGATTTGAGAAAATGTAATACAAAGCCACTCTCATAAAAGCTCTTTTCACAAATATGTTAACCATAATAACATAATTCACTTATTATTAGCATTAATGTAATAGATTTACTTACATGACTGTAATATTTAGTGTGGTTAAAATGTCTCATAAACACTAATTAATTTACTATATTAAAATTGTTTTAATTTCTAATACAATATAAATCAATAAAACATTAGTAACCAACATAAAGAAAAGCCCTCTGTGCTCCCCACTAATTTCTAAGAGTGTAAAGGATTTCTGAGAACAAAATGTTTCAGAACCACACTATTGTCATGTTAATTACATAAAAATTTCAAAGGATACTGGACTCATTCACAGTAAAATACATTAAAAAAATACTCTTTTCTGAGAAGAAAATCTTAACCAAATTACTCATGGAGCAGGTTTAGGTTCAGAGGTGAACTTGCATGGGTCAAATAACAATATCTGCACAGAGCCAAGAGAGAATGCTAACAGCAAATATCAAATCATAAATGCTATAAAGAATGAGCCCCATCTACACAAAAACAAACGACAACCATATCAATGCAACTCACAATTCATTTTTTCTAAGAACTGATTACACATTAACTACACAGCAATAATTATACCGGCATTAAAATTCTGCAAATAACATGCACTACTGATATTATACCAAGAGATATGCATAATTCAATACATCTCCAGTATATTACTAATATTCTCATTAATTCCTTTTCTATTTTACCAAATAATATTAAAATCAAAACTGACTTCAAAAAACTGAATTCAAAGGGTTTTCTTTAGAATAGTGAGAGTTAAGGAAGCAAAACAGAATAGCCAAAATAATAATTCTCTGAATTGAGATCTAGTCTTTATTAATTATTTGAAATATCTATTATATGACATACTTAAAAATTATTTACTGATCTATAAGGTATAAAACTAATAAAATGTGATATGTACAAATATGTGAAGCTCATTAATGTGGAAGGCAGTCACTAAAATTTGAGAGCCTACACTTTATGAAACATTATGTTAAGTACTTCGTATATATTATATTATGAAGCCTCACAGCAACACTGTGAAGCAAACATTTTGCCAATTAGGGAACAGAGCTTCATAAGTGCATAGTATCTTGCCCATTGGCAACAACAGGTTAAAGTAAACAGGAACAAATTTTGACCTGTTTTCTGGCTTTACAAGAAAAGACACTCCTACAAACAGCCTTGTCAGTTAAAGCCCTGAAAGGCTGATGGCCTGCTGGATAGAGGACTTAAGCTAAGGGGAAAAAATGTCCCAGAATTCCTACCACTGTCTGACTTTGTGATGTCAAGAAACAACTGAGTTTCAAGTACTTTTCACCTTTATGCAGAAGACTCCACCTCTACACCCTACTGGACTATGAAGAAACAAAGTACAGCTTTGCACAGAATAGGCACTCAAAACATGATAGTGTTGCTATTACTGATACTGTTATTTTCTAGGGAGAACATTTCTGTTGAAAGTTCATTAACTAAATGATCCCAATAGTATGAAATTTATTGCTACCATTCTAGTTATGAAGCACTGACATGAGGGAGATGTCTGTATCAATAATGGATGGGTCTTGATTAATAAAATAGCATTGGAATGTTCAAATCTTACTTTTGGTTCAACCATACTAAATTTATTTATTTTAAGTTTAAATACCTTTAAAGGAAAATAAATCTCACAAATATAAAAACTCCTGAAAATTCTCTAGCCCGATCAAATTCTAAGGCTTAATTATAATGACTATATCCTTCATAGAAGAATTATTAGGAGTCAGAGGCTCAAACAAGAAAAGCCCTTAAAAGACAGTAATTTAGAAGTACAAAGCAGGAAAGGAAAAGATAGTAACTTAAGAAACTTAAGTGTGCAGGGCACTTTTATTATTTCAACACCCACACAAGAACATAGAAAAACTTTAAATGTAACTAATTTCCTACAGAAATATTAAGACTCATTTTTATTAGTATTCTCATGGTTTTATCTCTTCTCTTAATTTCACTCAGTCAGTTCTTTATTTGGAACTCTCTAAAAGGAAAGAGATTGTTTCTAAAGAAATCTTGAATTAGAAGTAAATATCAATGATTACTCAATATATTTGAAATGCTTGAGGTTTCAAAGCACCAGGTATGGGTAAATGTACAGAACTACTTCCTAGCAAAGAAAGTAGTCACAGTAAAGTCAGAATATATGAATTTAAATCCTGGATCTACTATTTATTCTGTAACTGTGGGCAAATTTCCTAATGTCTTTGTAAAATACCTCCAGTGACCAAAACTCAGTATAGCCAACAAAAATTTCCTTAAAGTACCAAAAATGAGAAAACATTTTTGAATATTTTTTTTTTTGAGATTTTGAAGCTTGAAAATAACATCTACTTAGTTACAAGGGTAAAATGTATTTTTACTAGGTTTTTTTATATTTGGTTTAGTAGACATTTTTTTTTTTTAAATCACATATGGAAGAAGAAAAGTGTCCCAGACACTTTTCAGTGTTCAGGGTTTTTAATGGATTTTTAATGTAATAATAGGGATCTCAAAGCATTTTAAAAGGATTAAATAAAGTGATACACATAAAAGATTTAAAACAATGCCATATTCATACAGGGCACTCAAACGCAACCATTAGCATTCTTACTATTGTCACTAGGATTACTTTTCTCCACATTTCAAACTAAAACCTCTCTTGTTAATTTTATTTTAAGACTTGGCTCAAGATTAAAGCTCCACTATGAATACATTTTTCTACCATAGTAACTCCTCTACAGCACTATTAAATGATTTTTTAGTGCCTCCATTTCTCTGTATATATTTAAATACCTGCGAAATTTGGGTATATTTACTTATTGACATGTCTCCTCCTATTAAACATTAATTCCCTGACAGCAAGGTTGCTATAATTACTCATTCTTTTATGACCAGTAACTAGACTGCACTTCATATATGTAACTATGCAATAAATATATGATGAATGGAATGATGCTTAAATTCAGTTTGACCTTACAAAGGCCAAATGATTATGGCACATTATGAAAAAATCTTGAGAACTAAAAAACATTCTCTGTTCAAAAATAAGATTCTACTACATACTTAAAACTGTGGCAAGGAACTAAGAAATAGAAACTTCACTCTACATATTAAAAAGTAAAAAGAACAGTTTTATGGCTAACTCAGAAAATAAATTTTCCATTAGTTCCATATTTATAAATTTCAGCTTACTAATTTCATAATAGGGAAACTGCTATGTATTCAATGATAATAAGCACATATTCGTAAAATATTTCTATTATTTTCAAGTCTACTATATTTTCATCAAAGAAACTTTAGAAATATAAAATGCTGTATAAATGTTATTAGAGTAACCAAAATGTCATTCAAACATATACACTTTTTGGGGAAACAGATCTACTAATTATTAACATGTAACAACATATTTAACCAGGACTGTTCCACTAACCAGGAGAAGAAGACACCCTAATTATTGCCCTCTGTCTCTTCTACTAGTCAATTACACTCAATCCTCCTGTAACTACCTAATGGAAAAGTATATAAGCCTTCTATTTGACTACTATTGCACAATATTAAATTAATACTTTCTTTGCCAAAGATTCATGTTTTAAAAGGCTAATTTATTACTACAGTTCACAATATAAAATTTCAGTAACTTCGACAATACCTCATTCTGAAGTTCATCACCACTTTTAACAGAAGCAAGCATATCATATAAAGTACAGCAAAGATCTTCTATTCTTGTTGCTTCAGCCATTTCATTTAACGCTGCATTTAAGTACTTTTCAACTTCACTCCACAAAAAGGAGTCATTTGTTCTTTCCACAGGCTTAAGATCTGGGGTAGAATGCTCCTGAAAATGTTCACTCAGAAACTTCTTGTAATCTAGGCTGATAGTTTTCTGGGATTCACCATTTATTGGCAGTTCATCAAAGTGGTCCAAATCATGCATGTCAAATGAAAATACTAAGTTTTTACCAAAGAAAACTCTCTCACCACCATATTCTTCTTCAGTCATCTGGACAAGAGCAGTAATACTGTCTTGATGAAAACGAGAAGTAATTCTATTAGTAGCATTACAAGCAGCAGTGGCAGATGATGAAGGAAAAGGACCAAACATCTGTTTGATAGCCTTTGTCTCCTTGTGGCCAACACAGTCCGTCAAGTGAAATGTCTTGAAGAGAAATGCAGCTGCACTTTCGATTGCTTCTATCCCATTATCCATTCCAACTATTCAAAGACAAAAAGCAAAACAAAAAAAACCAAAACAAAAACAAAAACCAACAAAACATGTTAGCTCAGCTGAATCATGGTTTAAATCACTGTTAAAAAAATAAAAAACAAAAAACTACTAACATTCTTTTGAATAATCCAAGAGTGAAAACATACTATTAATAATAACCAATTTAGGAACAGAAGAATTCCTTTAACCTCATCCTCAAATTTCCAAAGAATTTATTAAAAAATAAACCATTATCAGCATTTTTCTATATATAAATATAGAAACTACCAAATAACACTTTCTCTTTCTAAATATAACTAGAGGGATTAGTTAAAACTTAATTAAAACCAAACTTTAAAAGGGCCTCCCCGGTGGCGCAGCAGTTGAGCACTGGGTTGCGAAGCTGCCCGCAGCCTCTGCAGCGCCGGTTCGATCCCCGGCTGCTCCAGGCCACCGAAGGAGGGACCCACATGGCGCGCAGACCTCTCCTGCCGCCCGCTGCTCCCCTCAGCAGTGTACTTCGGTCCTTCTGCCTGTTCTGCTCCCCGCTCTGGCTCTGGTGAATTCTCTCACCCTCCCGTGCTTCTGACTGTGCCCAGTGCTTGCTAAAAATAAATAAATAAAAATAAATCTTTAAAAAAAAAAAATTATGAAGAAAAAAAAAAAAACAAACTTTAAAAACTAACTCTATGAGCTAGTCCAATAAGCCAAAATAATGTGTAAACAATACCTAAGGGCCTCCCTGGTAGCGGAAGGGGTTAAGCACCACACTATGAAGCAATCCGCAGCCTCTGCAGCATGAGTTCAATCCCCGGACAGCCAGGAAGCAACCCACATGGCAAGGCAGACCTCTCCTGTCTCGCCCACTGCTCCTCTTAGCAGTGTATTTCAGTCAGTCTGCCTGTTCTGTTTCCCACTCTGTCTCTGGTGAATCCTTCCCTCCCCCCACCCCCATATCTCTGGCCTGTGCCCCAGCTCTTGTATGCATAAATAAATAAAATCTTTAAAAAAAATACCTAAGTTACAGATTTTTGGAGCCCTAAAACAACTGGAGAGTTAACTTTCTTTCCAATTTGTACTGTAAGTCTGAGATGGTAAAAAGTAGATTTAAATAGTTTTCATTTACGAACACTGACTACCATCAAGGATGGACATAAGCATAATTTTTTAAAGTCAATTTAGTCATGCTATAAGATATTTAAAAACCCTGAAGTTTGAAAGAAGTCAGAAATAAATTCCTTACGAAGTAAGAGGAAGAAAATTACCCACCCCTCATTATGCCATTAAGGCATTAATGGCTCATAACTGATATTTTCGCTAATAAAATATGAAAATAACCTGCGTTTTTGTCAGAGAATTCAAATAGTACCTAAGAGTAGAAAAAAAGGATTTCAGTCTCAGAGGGCTCCAAACATCAATGTGACTTACCTAAAGTAATGCTGGTAAAGTTAATAATATAATTAACACAGTATCTTCCTGAAATCATGGTTCCAATCATATCATTGATCACAAATCTTAAAGCATCTTATGTTAGCTTTGTAATTCAATCAAAACTCCTCATCCTTCTTTCCAGTTGCACTGCCTATTATATGTTTCCTGCACCAGCCAACAAGAATTTTTTAACATGTGAAAACCAGGTCCTGTCTTATTCTGTACCTATTTCCATGCCTTTATTTAACCTTATCCAAGACCTCCGATTATTCAAATTTTACCCATGTTTTAGAATCTAGTTCAGTTGCCTCTTTCAAGGTGGGTACATAATCGTAGTCCCTTCTCTGGGCCTAGTCCAAAATAGGTGCCTCAACAGAGATGTGTTAAATTACACTGAACCTAGATCCCAATGATAACTGACTAGTAATTTTACACTATACCATATTACCTCAGCAATTTTTTTTTTAAAGTGTTTCTTTTTTCCTTTTTTGATTTTTTTTTTAAAGATTTATTTTTATTTATTTATACAAGCACTGGGTACAGTCAGAAGCGCTGGAGGGTGAGAGAATTCACCAGAGCCAGAGCGGGGAGCAGAGCAGGCAGAAGGACCGCAGTACACTGCTGAGGGGAGCAGCGGGCGGCAGGAGAGGTCTGCGCGCCATGTGGGACCCTCTCCCGGTGGCCGGGGATCGAACCGGCGCTATAGAGGCTGCGGGCAGCTTCGCAACCCAGCGCTCAACCGCCACGCCACTAGGGAGGCCCTACCTCAGCAATTTTTTACTTTATCTTATTATGTTCACAAATGTGTATAGACTAATAATTTATAAGTGAAGATAAACAGATTTCTGTAAATCTCTATATATGTTATTTCCAATTTCTTCTAGTAAAAAGTCTACTTTTACATTTACAAGAAATGTACCATCTATCCTTTTAGTATTTTAAAAAAAAAATTATTTATTTATTTATACAAGCACTGGGTACAGTCAGAAGCCGGGAGGGTGAGAGAATTCACCAGAGCCAGAACGGGGAATAGAATAGGCAGACTGACGAAACACACTGCTGAGGGGAGCAGCGGGCAGCTGGAGAGGTCTGTCCTGCCTTGTGAGACCCTCACCGGCGGCAGGGATTGAAGAAGCGCTGCAGAGGCTGTGGGCAGCTTCGCAACCCAGCGCTCAACTGCTGCGCCACTGGGGAGGCCCTATTCTTTTAGTATTAAGGAAAATACATGGTAAAAATCTCCTATAAATTAAATTACACCTTTAAAATAGCAATAGCATTTATGCACATTGTACTTATTTAGTCTCTATATGATGCTTGGTTTTAAGTAACTTAGGAATTATGGTAATTCTACAGTTAAGTCAACAGGGTTGGGAACAGTAAAGTCTGAACAAAAAATGGGAATCACATTACAAACTCATTCTATATCTAAATGGAAAATATGCATTCTGGGCCTCCCCTGGTGGCGCAGCGGTTGAGCTGCAAAGCCGCCCACAGGCTCTGCAGCGCCGCCGGTTCTATCCCCGGCCACCAGCAAGGGCCCCACATGGCGTGACAGACCTCTCCTGCCGCACCCTCTGCTCCCCTCAGCAGTGTATTTCGTCAGTCTGCCTGTTCTGTTCCCTGCTCTGGCTCTGGTGAATTCTCTCACCCTCCCACGCTTCTGACTGTACCCAGCTCTTATATAAATAAATAAAAATAAATAAATCTTTAAAAAAACACTATTATATATATAAAAAGAAAATATGCATTCTATTGTATGGATTATCATTTTGCTATTTGTAATATTTTTAAGACAATCTACTAAGAACTTTCACATTATTTCAATTCTCCCTAATAAAACACTTTCTATCTTTCAGATGTTAAATGGGAGAGTCAGAGTTAAATAATTTTGGAGGTCAGGCAGCTAGTTAGTTATTAAACAAGATTCAAAGCAGCCTTTTAACTCCTAAAGAAACTTCTTTTTAATATACAATACCGATTCCCCACAGATTCCAAAAAAATTTACCTCTGATTCTCATTTACTAAATAACTATATAAGTGAACAACCCCAGTAAATAAGGTAAAAATGGGAGAGTAGTCTTAATTACATTACCAAAAATGAAATTAACTTATTATAGATCACTGATTAATTTATATTACATACGTATTTAACATTCATTGAATATAATGCAGTGGATCCATATATTTTGCCATGAAATAAATTCCTCAACATAGTAAGTGGGAGGAAAAGTTATGAACCTACTTTTGAAGAAAAATGAAATAACTGTAGACTCATGCAAATGTGTACAAAGATAAGAAATAATTTTATCAGGATTTCAATTTTAAATTAGAATTGACATTTATTGATAAAATTTCAAAAACAAATTATTACTTAAAATGAAAGTCTAATAGGATAATTGTGGTTCATAAAAGTTCATGCCCCTGCCAAAATACTAACTACTTCTGCATAACCAACCCCACCACAACTCTGAGTTGGGCTGCTAAGAATGGACACACGTTAATCACCGAGAGGTGGTTTCTCAAACTGAGCAACGGCACCGATTTACTTAGAAGTTTCAATTTTTGTAAAGCGGTAGAGAACAGTATTTGTCGCCACGACTGACTATCCAACAAAGAGACTAGTTCACTCAGGAAATAAATAATTTCCCTGGGACTCTAATTTCTCCGGAAAGTCAATGATGACTTTCATGCACGCCGCCTTCCCGCAATACACGGGCTTGTCCCCCACCTCCCCAACCAGGGCGGAGACTTGCACTGTAGCGCTGGGTCAGCCTGTGATGACGTGGACCCACAAGGGGACTAGCGTCATCCAACTACCCGGATGAGGAGAAAGCTCGGGATTGGAGCAGATTATTGCAGAACCCGACAGCACTGAAGGAGAAACCCGGTTTGCTGGCACAGGCAACCATGATGCCAGCGCTCAGATCTTTTGGTGGCTGAATTATTACAAGAACGATGTCTGTAAAACATGTGACGAAAAGGAATACAATCAGAAGTCTGGCTTGTTAAAGCTCTGGCAGGTTCCACCTCCCCTCAACAAACGTGGAATTAGAAGGCACAGATACAGTGCTTCTCATGAGCCAGCTGAGCCAGCACAAATAAAGCGCCACACGGAAAAAAGGAGGGGGAGGGTCTCGAAAAACGCATGGTGAGCTGCTAGCGAAGAAATTTTTATTAAGTAGTTATTTTCTTTACACACTATACAAATCTGAACATTTAGATTAACTGTGAAAACTGTGTTCACAAATAACCTTTCGGTTGATTTTTATTGATATTTTACATATAATTTAGTTCCGAGTGATCTCTTAAGTGATTACTTATTAGGCTGAAGTTCTTTTCGTGCTATCATTTTTTCAAGCACTGGTTGTGCTAATCTTTCAGAGAATAAGATTTTAAGTTTAGTTTTGTCCTCAAGGAAACATCTCAGTAACGAATAAAATATACATTAATCAACTGAGAAATCTGAATGAAACTTAAAAACTGTGAACCTTTAGTATAAAGAAATTTTTGGACTACTTAAATATCTACTCTTTTAGTCATAAAATACTGAACAAGACTGTAAACAATAAAAGTGACA